CTCTCCGTCTGAACTCTTCTCATTATCTTTGGTTAGGTGCATTTGGAGCTATTGTATTGTCCTATTGGCATGAAGAATGGGTTAACTAACCCTTTTTCTCAGACTGAGACAATGACTTCATTAGAGAGAGTTCTTAAAAATGGGGCAGAAGGAAACGAAACTAGTCCAAATGGAGGTGAAATCAGCAAAAGAAGGGAAGTAATAGTACGAGGGGTACTTTCTGTTACTGTGATATCAGCTGATGACCTGCCCCCAGCTGATATAGGGGGGAAAGCTGACCCCTACGCCGTGCTGATTATGAAGAAGGCGCAAATCAAGAACAAAACCAGGGTATCCTTTCTTCTTCTTATTTAACTGTTGGCTTCTCAGTAAATTCAGTAAATAATTTCTTTCCTTCTTTGGTAAGTAGGAAAAGAAACAATATGCCGCAATTCTCATTTTTGGATCTAGATTTTTAACTTTTCCTCTTGTCCTCCTAATATTCAGGGTTGGATGTAGAGTTATAGATATGGGTTCATCAGAACCCACTAGCTTTGGCTCGGACCCTTGTGTTAAAAGAATACACTAGATAAGTACAAACAATCGATTTCGAACCCAGTAAATCAAATGAATTGTGGTAGAATCCCGATCTTGAAGAACTCATAAAAAAATAGAAACCCGAACTCGAACCTTAAGGTTCAAATTCTGGATCTGCCTCTGCTAATATTTAGTCTATGGAAACCACAAAGTTCGTATTATCCTTGTTTTAGTGTAATTTGTCTTGATACTCATCATTCATAACTAGATATAGTGCTGAATGTTACTTACAACAACTACACCGTAATCCAAAGCAAGTTGAGATCAGCTATATGAATCTTCACTGTCCATGAACAACATTTGAGCTCATATGATGTAAAGTATCCTTGTTTAGTGTAATTTGCCTTGATACTCATTATCCATAACTAGATATAGTGCTGAATGTTACTTACAACAACTACACCATAATCCAAAAGACGTTGGGGTCGGCTATATGAATCTTCACTGTCCATGTCACAACATCTGAGCACATCTAATGTTAATTATCCTTTTTTAGAGTAACTTGCCTTGATACTCTTCATTCATAACTAGATATAATACTAATTATCACTTACCAAAAAATATATATAACACTGATTATCTGTTTCCCTTAGGTCGTAAATGAAAGCCTAAATCCAGTTTGGAATCAGACTTTTGACTTTGTTGTTGAGGATGGATTACATGATATGCTAATTGTGGAAGTCTGGGACCATGACACATTTGGAAAGGTAAGAGTACATGTCCTTAAATAACTTCCATATGATTACCCTGTGACTATTTTCGTTCTCGCTCAAAATATCATTAAGCACTTTCTTAATTTAACATATTTAGATACCAACTTTTGTTGATATGATGTTTTCTTTAGCCGAAGTTAACTTGTTACGTGAGTGCTTTTGATTGGTGCTTCGATAAGTAGTCATTAGTTAGTATCATCTCCCTTAGCATGTGGTCTTTAGCCGAGGGTCTATCGGAAACCTCTCTTTTCGATTTTCTCAACTTTGTTTTTGTTGGTACAGGATTTCATGGGAAAATGCATACTGACTTTAACAAGGGTTCTAATGGAAGGTGAATATAAAGACACCTTCGAATTATCCGAGTCTAAATCAGGGAAACTGAACTTGCATCTCAAATGGAACCCACAGCCATTATACAGAGACTCCTAGTGATGAACATCAAATTTTCAGTTTTTATTCTTGGTAGTTTTATGCAGGGAGTAAAGTTACTTTGATTCCGATATTGATTGGAAAAGACCAAGTAAAATCGAATATTTTCTGTACATGATTTGATTAAGAGGAAATAACGCATAATGCCTATCAAGGCCAAAATAATTACCCGGTGTTGCCCACTTGAAAATTAATTATAATTCCTAGCACAAACTTATTACCGGACTATTCAATTTTCTATTTTCCCTTTAATTTGCTTTACCCCATGTGAGGGGCATGTGGAAAATACAAATCTATTCCCCTTTTATTTTATGACTTGAATCACATTACTTTTGACTATCTTTCCATCAATGATATGTACTTTGACGGTAGAAACATATATTAATAATTATTTTTAAAATAAAAATAAAAATGAAATAGGATATTTGCAGTGAGAAAATGGACAAGAGGAATAAGTTGATCGTAGAAACTCTCGGTTGTCGTGCATACTACAATTTCAAAAGGATTGTCCTGAATTTTTGTTCAATTGTTGTGCACATTTTCAATAAATAAATAATAATATTTATTAACATTAATGGAATTTCATGGAGGTATTATTCATTGCATAAGCTCTCATTGAGTTAATTAGAATATGTGACAACTGATATTATTTCAGTTTAATAATTGAATTTTAAAAAAATAAATAAATTCTTTGTGTACAATTGTATACCCTATTGGTATAGCTATATACGATACTGGTATTATAAGTTAGTTGGAACATTTTTTTTGTTGTATTAGCTACATTTAATTGGTACACTATTTGATTTTTCTTTAATAATAGTAGAATAGTACAATATCTTGAATTTTTTAAATTTTCCTTTATGCATGTGTATTATGTAATCATTTTGATTTTTTCTTTATGCGTTTGTTTTATATAATAGTATTATAATACAATATCTTGAAATACATTCTTATATTAATATGTGGTACACTATTTTTTGATTTTTCTCTTTATGCATGTGTATTATGTAATAGTAGTATAGTCATATATAGTTTTCTGGAATTAATTAGTAGAACTGTATACCCTATTGGTATAATTATATGTCATGTTGGTATCATATGGCAGTTGAAATATTTTTTGGTTGTTTTAGCTGCATTTTTAAGTGAATTCTATTATGAAATGATTTATATGATCATGTTTTGCTGTGTTGGATTTTCTTGTACCTATGGACATAGATTTTGTGTATTATAATATTATATAATAGTTTTTATATTTATATGCAGTTATTGGAACGACCCCGTATAACTATATACCCTATTAGTATAGTTATATACTATATTGGTATCATATGCTAGTTGAATCATTTTTTGGTTGTATTAACTGTATTTAATTAGTACACTATTTGATTTTCTTTTAATAATAGTAATATAGTACACTATCTTGAAATACTTTATTATATTAATATATGATACACTATTTTTTAATTTTTCTCTTTATGCATGTGTGTTATGTAATAGTAGTATAGTCATACAGTTGCCGGAAATTAACCAGTAAAGATGTATACCATATTGGTATAATTATATACCATATTGGTATCATATGGTAGTTTGAACATTTTTTTTGGTTGTTTTAGCTTCATTTTTAAGTGATTACTATTCTGAAATTATTTATATAAACATGATTTGCAGTGCTGGAATTTTTTTGTGTCGATGAACATAGATTATGTGTATTATGTAATAGTTTTTATAGTTATAGGCAATTGTTGGAACGACCCCATACAACTATATACCCTGTTAATATACAGAATGAGCAAGTTGCTTTGCGAATATTTAGCTTGCAATGCGAGCATGCAATTTTCTCATACTTTTATTGCATCCTTTAATGTTTTGGTACAGTAGTATAGTCGCAGATAATTGTAGCAATATTCTAGAGCAATCATATACTCTATTGGTATATATGTATACCATATTGGTATCATATGGCGCTAGAAGTATTTTTTGCTACTTATACTTTTATTGCATTTTTCAATATTTTATTATCATTTCTATTCTAACTAGTATATATGGAGAATTGGTGGCCGTAGATTTTATTTTCTTGCTCCATAACTAGTTGTGTTACTGCTAATGGTAGAGTGTGTACTGATATTTATATGGAAGGAGATCAAGGTTTGCATGGCAATCACGTGTTAATTCTTAGAATCTGATTATGTAATTTATGGTGCTCAGCAACAGTCAGTGTGATATTCAGTGAATTAGATCAAGTGACAACTGATATTATTTCAGTTTAATAATTGAATTTTAAAAATGAGAAAAAGACAAAAGGTATATTATACTAGTTATATTTAAAAAAACGTGAACAAATATTTACTATATCAGTTATTTTTTCTTATTGTATAAAAAATAGTGAAAACAGTAAATGAAATTAGATTATGAAGAGAAAAAGAATATAAAAAAAATAAGTTAAATGAAATTAGAAAAGGAAAAAAGAAAAAAATAAGAAGAAAACGAGAAAAAAGAAAAGGAGAAAATAAAGAAAAAAAAGGAAAAGAAGCATAGAAATTAAAAAAAATTAGAGAAAAAAGGGAAACTTTCCCACAAAAACTACTATGGGTAGGAAATATAATTAATTTGATGGGTAGAAAAATAAATGGATAGGTAAGGGTAAATAGTTTTATTTTTATGGGTAACTGTGTCATTCTCCATTTGAGCACATAATTTTTGCCCAAAATATGAAAGTACTCCTAAAAATCTCAAAAAATAATTTTTTTATTATTTTATAGAATTTTATGAATTTTTCTATATTTTACTTGATTTGTTTTGTGCTTTTTTTTGTTTGGTGCATTTTTAGTAGCATTTTAAATCTTAAAAAATAACAAAAATATTTTAATCTTTATATTTTTAGATTTCAATTGCATTTGTAAAAACCAACACTAAAATACCAAAATACATTCGTAACTTTACATGCATTCGTTAGTTAAATAATTAGTTAATTATTAGAAAAATAAATAATTAGGTTAATTTTGCAAAGTTAGTTTTAATTAGAATTAGATTGGTTAATTTAGAAAAACATTTAGACAAGGAAAGAAAGAAGCTTTTTACAGTTTGTTTTCAAACTGGGCCAGTGATCAGCGGCCCAAATCTTGCTCCAATTTCGTCCAACCCAGACCCCATTAAAGCCGGTCCAGCCCCAAAGACCCCCAAACGACCCCGTTTTGTCCTTTTGAATCTCAGTCGTCCATCAAGACCCATCCAACGGCCCTAAAGCTAACCCCATTTTACATTCAACTGTCCGAAACCCCCTCCCCNTCTCTTTCACTCGAACCCTAGCCGCCTCAAGACCCTTTGCCGCCGCCGCCGCTTCAAACAACCCCAATCTCCCTCAAATTCACACCCCACAGTACTCACATCCTCCTAATCCCTAACATTGATCAATTGCTTTTGTCAAGAGCAATTGATTAATGTAAGTTTTAGCTCATTTCGGAACCATCGGAATCCGGCCGAACCTCGTTGAAATCGCGTCAATTGAATCGTCTTTTCTTCCATAGGTACACCCTCACCCTTTTTATCTTATTCTTTTGTTGATTTTGTTTGTTGAAAGCAGAAGATTTTTTTTAATTGCATGTGGTTTGTCTGACCTAGTTTAATTGAATCAGTTTTGCTCATAAATTAGCTAAATAATTGTAGGCTTGCATTTAGTTAGTAATAACCTGTTTTTAATTTACCTTATCAAAAAAAAAAAAAGTTAGTAATCACCTGTTTGAATGTCAGCATGCTTAGGTTAATATTGAAAATGTTTTAGCTTTCTGAATAATTATTTGATTTAGTTCTACTTGAAGTTTAATCGATTAATTAGGTTATGGTTTAAAATACGCATGTGCTTAATTGATAGGTCAACTAGTTTGCTGATTGTGATTAATTTGTAATTGATAGCTTAATTTCAATTTAGATTAATTAGTTATTGTTTAGTAAATGTTGATTCTATGGGATAAAAGAGGACAGTAAGTTGAGGTAAAGGCACTAGTTGGTATTAATTGGAACTTTAGTGGGGTAAATGAAATAGAAAATTAGGGAATCTTTCTTTTAGCCGATGGAAGGTTCTAGAAGAGCTTGGAAGGGGTTAAACTGCAGTAAATCAGAGGTCTAAAGGGGTTAATTTCATAAGTTAAGGGGATGAGAAAAATAGGAAAAGAATAGATGATGGACAACTGTCCAAATTGGTTAAGAAAAGATGCTAAAAATAAGAAAAAATATCTGAAAAGGACAGCTGTCCAATTCAGTTGAAAAGATGCCAATTCCCTGATTTTTATGGAGCTGGCCGAATACTCTCTCATTCTCTCATAGGGCACACATATTCCCTATATAAAGCACCCCTGCATATTCATTTTAGAGAATGGACTCTCTGCAGAAATTTCAGACTCTTTTTCTTCATTTTTCACACTGATTTTTAAAAGATAACACTCTGAAAATTCCATCAAGGTTTTCACAAGTTGTTCTCTGTTTTGATTTGCTATTCAACTTCTGTTTTCTTCAAAATTGCATAGAGTTGTTGAAAAAATCCGTTGTTGTCACTCTGCTGTTTAGCTAAGACTTGAGGCTGTTCTTCTGTTTCCTGCTATTGATCTTGCTGAATTCATCTCGTGTTGTTTTTCTTAGCCTTTATTTGGCAAAAGTTCAGCTTGTTTACGAGTTTAGGTACACATCTCACACCTGTACCTCTGTTTTGATTTGCTATGAAATGTTGGTTATTCTTTAAAGTTATTTGCTGTGATTATGTAAACTGACTGTTTGTTCTGTTTTGAACATGAATGGATGTTAGTTTTGATATGTTTAAGACTTACAACCTGTTAAGGACAGATGGTCTCCATAGCAATTTCGTGACTAGAATTGTAGCTGATTTCACATGTTTAGTTGGATCTCAACCTATATATCTCATTGTCAAATACATGCTGCCTATATTTGAGTATTAACTACTGAAATCTGAACTTGCTTTTGTATTCTGATAAATTAAAGTCTAATACTGGATTTGAAGGTCAATAATGGTGGATCTGGCCACAGGTTGGTTTGATTTGCCATTTAAGGCTCGAGTGAAGTTTCATCTCTGTCGGATCTTTGTTGTTTGGGTTTGTTATTCATTAAGCATCAGTTAGAGTTGTGATCATAGTGAAGGTTAACCAAAGCTGTATTCTTTAATGGAGGATGGATGTTGTAATTTTAAGCATAAGATGATGTATTCCATAATTGACAGTGTATTTGCTTAGGTGAGTGTTCGTGTAAATTATAATTGTTTAAATTGATAGAAGTTCAATTGTTCAAACCATTTATTTATTTTGTTAAGCTATAATACTGCCATTCAGTGGTTGAGTGATTTTGTAAATACAAGGCATATATAGGGATTTTCAGAAGTTCTGAGCCTAATTATTCGTGATTCTTCAAATAGCCGTTTTCCAAACTTATGGGTCTCAAATGATGGAATAATTAACTGACGTCCGAATTCAGCGATGCGTACGTCAATTTACCTTCTGTCCACAACGTTTCTCCATAATTCTTTTGACCTTGCAATATACCTCAAAGCAGTATTAGGAATTAAACAGCTCTTAAATATTCGAAGTTTGCTTTAGCGCGATTAATAAATCATCGTGACTATGGGTACGAATCCCGTGGCATGGTCACGATAAGTAAATTCCAACTCAAGTGCGCGTTTCACGCGACTTGACCGCAACTTCAAATAATAATTAAAATAAACGTGTTGTGAATCACGGGTATGCTTCACGTGGCGTGATTCGTAATATGTACAAAAATAAACGTGCGCAACATTGCGGCTTGTTCAAATAAATTCCATAGTTTCTAACAACAATTAAAATTAATTAAAAATGGTTAAAAGTAAAAAAATACAAAATAGGTTTTAAACATGTAATAAATCAGATAATTAGGTCAATTATTAATAGTTGAGCGACCGTGCTAAAACCACGGAATTCGGGAATGCGTAACACCTTCTCCCGGGTTAACATAAATTCTTTTCCGGTCTTTTGATTTTCGCGGACTTTAAAACAGAGTCAACTTCCTCGATTTGGGATTTTAAAAATAAACCGTTCTCTTGGGACACCATAATAATTATCTCAAGTGACGACTCTAAATTAAATAAATAATCTCATTTCGATTAATGTCATCATTCACCGAGTTTTAAACTGTGTGCCAACTTCGCCTTAGGGATTTCTCGGTTATAGTTAAAATGGTGATAGTATCATTTAGTGAGTTCATTTATGAGAATGGCCTCTAAAGCTTCAAGAAGAAATTTTATTGGGGTCTTTTTAGTACCTTCCGAGTCTTTCTCTCCATAGTTAAATATCGCCATAGTTTGACATGTTTGTTTGATGAAGTATTTATTGGTCAGCATGGAATTGAGTTATATGCTACAACAACAGTTATTTCTCAATCTTAAACAAGTTGGGGTATGTTATATGAATTCTCACCGATCATGTTTCTCAATTTAAATTTATATCAGGCTAACTTTCACATACAAAATAATAAATAAATGAATAAATGAAGTGAATGCATTGTGAATTAAGCAGCGACAGTATAACATTCGGATACAACTTTTCCGTACTGGAATAATGCAATGAACAGCACAAACTAATAATTTTTATTTTGAATGATCCATATTCAGTATGCTCCAGAAATTTGTCTCACAGTTGTGCAGTTGAAGCCCTGTTTAAAATGACTGAATGGAGATGATTCTTGTTCAACTTTCTCCTGTGATGATTGCTTCCCCTGCATGAGCATAAGTTGCTTCAGTTTAATTTTTATACATTGACAGTGTAAAAGTTCACCTAAAAGATGACTACAGATACCCGTCTATAATAAGTGGGATTAGTTCTTGGAAAATAAGATAGATTACATGTTGCACATATTAAAATACACTAAAAGGCAGCCCGGTGCACAAAGGATCGCGCATTCACGCAGGGTTCGGAGAAGGGCCGCACCCCAAGGGGTTGTGATGTAGGCAGCCTACCCTGATTCAAGCATCAGTGGTTAATTCCACTGCTCGAACCCGTAACCTATAGGTCACACGGAGACAGCTTGACCGTTGCTCCAAGGCTCCCCTTCCATGTTAAAATACACTGATAGCGTAAAAGTTTTTTATACTGTCAGTCTATATAAGTTAATTCCACATTGCTTATTTAGATCAAGGCGAACTAGAATAGGCTGATTGATCTAGTAGAAGGGTGAATTAGCAAACATACTTGAACATCAAACACCATTATATATAAAGACTGAAGCATAGAATATGAGAAATGTGGAAGTGAAACAAGCTTTTAAGCTAGAATCTGTTCAAGTTTAATGAGAAAGAGATCATACTGACCAGTACTGGTTGTGTAACACGAAAGAGTCGATTTTAACTTTCTTTCCATCATCATTTCTGTTCCAATGGTATAATGCATGTGTTCTGTTCTTAATCTCTAGCGTGGAATGGCCATAACTTGCTTCGCGGAATGCAGAATATTCTGGTTGTGGATCTCTAAATCTGCAGACATAAACAAATGAATATATAGTTCAAGGGCAATTCAAGAAGTTAAGATATAGTTCAAAACATAAGTAAAATAATTAATCCACAAAGCATAAGCTTACTTTGAAGCAAGTCCTTCTTGATTTCCTCCATCACCAACTGTTATGTAAACAGGAGCTGCTTTATCTGGTATGGGATAAGGATCACCACTCGAGACGTTATAGTGTATATTTGATACGCGATACTGAAAAAAGAGAAAACGTTTAGCAAATCTCAACAGCATAGCTATCACAAGGCAGAAAAGTTGAATATCGTACCAACACAAGATAGCGTAAAGTGAAATAACTTACTGATCGTTCATAGGCGTGGACATGGCCGGCAAAGATTACATCAACTTTGTGTTCAACGAACCATCCTTCGAAAACGGATCTCATACTTTCCCCCTCCATAAAATGGGCTACATTACTGTTGTAGATAGGAACATGCATAAGAACTATAAGCCAAGGAGTTTTCTCTCTGTCCACATTTTTCAATTCCTCTCTCAGCCACTTCCATTGTGGTGTATATTTTACTGCATGATTAGAGACACAAAAGATTAAGTAGCTATATGATAAAAAGGGCAGCCTGGTGCACAAAGCATCTCGTGTTCACGCAAGGTCCCGGGAAGGGCCGCATCGTAAGGGGTATGATGTAAGCAACCTACCCTAATACAAGCATCAGTAGCTAAGCTGATTCCACGGCTCGAACCCGTGACTTATATGTCACACTGAGACAACTTTACCGTTGCTCCAAAGCTCTTCTTACTAAGTAGCTATATGATAAAAAGAGAAATACATATGTGAAATGATGCTTACAACCACAACCAGAAAAGAAGAGCAAGAAGCATTATTCCATGTCTATAAACTTCAAAATTTGGGGCCTAAAGTTTCTTGCTTCACGTTGAAGAAACTCAAGAATCAAGACAATGAAATGGGAAAAACAAATTACCGAAAGGAGAATAGGTTGATAGCACAATTATGTGAGCAGATGCCCTCCTAATAGCATACCAAAGTGGGCTAATGCTTTTTGAAGCTTGATAAGGTGTAGGATATCTGTACAGATATGACTTGAATGGAGTTACTTCCCCCTATGGATAATTGAAAAAGAAAACAGTCAAATTTTAAACATTGTAGCAATGAGGCATAAGCACTTGACACGTTTGAATCAGACATGAATAAGGAAGAATTGGTCCTAAGTAGAATATAGCAGGAAACAACATTATGTTAAACATCTGAACTTGAGCTGTGTTGCAGAACTTTACCATATACGGCATATATTCTATCTCATGATTCCCGGCTGACCAAATCCAAGGTTGATATGCTGCACTTTGTTCAACAAAGCGGCCCCATGTATCCCAACGGATACCAACATCACCATACTTATATCTGTCCGCGTAAGAGAGATCTCCTACAAATAAGACGCTCTTCGCTCCACTATTCATGTAATGCTGAAGAGTTGAAAGAGAATTATATGTTTGTCCTAGATCACCTGAAAGAAGAGTTGCTTCATTGGATTGTTGAATTCTTATTGTCATAACTATTAGCAATCTTTCAGACTGTCATGTTGAATAACTCTAACAATATAAAAACAACAACAACAAACCCAGTGAGTTCCCACAAGTGGGGTTTGGGGAGGGTAGTGTATACGCAGACCTTACCCGTACCCTGATGGGCAGAGACGTTGTTTTTGATAGACCCTCGGCTAAAGACAATATAAACATCACAATGCGGTAAAGTACAACAATCTTTCAGAAAGCGGATAAAGGTAACGGAATATAAACTACTTACCTATGATTCCAAATTTGTATGAAGCATCTGGATCAACCTTTGGAGGAGTTTCAAACCAGAACTTTCGAGCAGAGTCACCATCTCCAATTTCATAGTAATACTTTCTGTCATACTGAAACGAACGTAAAAATAATTTGTCAAACTAGATAGAAAATGGAGGATATCATTTAAGACATCATGGAACTACACTGTCAGATGTAAAAACTCAACTATATGCTTTTTTCTAATATAGTTGTGTTATGTATAAAAAAGGGCAGCCCGGTGCACAAGCATCCCGCGTTCACATAGGATCTAGGGACGGGCCGTACTGCAAGGGTATGATGTAGACAACCTACCCTAATGCAAGCACTAGTGGTTGCTTCCACGGTTCGAACCCATGACCAATAGGTTACACGGAGACAGTTGTGTGACGTATATGACCCTTAAATGAAGAGATGACATCGTGATTCTTTCGTCTTCCAAAACTATAAAACCGAGAATTCTAATTACCTGAAGGCCATCAAGAAAGCACTGATGTATATAGCCAGACGTGTAGTTGTAAAATGTGTAATTTGTTACTGAACCCTCAGCTGTAAACTCAGATTTTCCTTCAGATAATCCGTAACGTACTTGACTAGGCCCCGGTTTATCAGGTGTAATCCATGAAATTAGAACAGCCTTCCCTTCATAATCAGCCTGTGTGATATGCACCTATTGTAGAATGAAGTAATTATTAGCATTTTAGAACTTTAGCATGAAAAAAACCTGCACTTTATATACAGTAGTCAAAAAGCGAACCTGGAATTCTATCTTCTTATTATCTTTGAACATATGAGCAGAAACAGAACATTGCACTTGAAGATTATGATTATAGTTGATGTTACAATGTTGTTTATCATGTAATTTCTCATTCTTTTGGATAGTGTTTATAGGCAACTTTGCAATTTGAAGACCAAATACTATCTATTCAATTTAGTCATGGTTTGAAAGCATTCAATTATGTAATACTAATTGACTTTGAAATTATTCTACCTAAAAGTTATATATGCTGCTCATATCCTTCAAAAATACCGTCAGGTGTGTGTCAGATCCTTCAAAAATTCGGCAGCATTTTGGAGGATTCGAGCAACATAGTCTAGAAATCTGTCTAAATACTTCAGGGGTTCCAATTTCTATGCAATTTCTATACCATTACTAATTCGGTTTCATTGTAAACAACAACAACAACAACAACAACAACAACAACAACAACAACCCAGTGGAATCCCACAAGTAGGGTCTGAGGAGGGTAGTGTGTACGCAGACCTTACCCCTATCCGGGTAGGTAGATCGACTGTTTTCGATAGACCCTCGGCTCAAAGAAAATGAAAGGAAATCATGCTACTCGAATTGAATTATCTCGAGTTCTTGAACAGGTTACAAAAAGAAAATTACACGCACTCAAAATTATGTCAAAGTTAAAGTAACTTACTTGTTGTGGAGCATTATAACCCTTAGGAACAGCAAAGACTTCATTGTCAAGAGGAATATCGACAGATGGCCACTCATTACGAATAAATGAACTCGTTAAACCAGCATTCCCGTTGTCTATCAGTATAAAGACGGACAACGAAAAGATGAGATGAAGCAACATTGACTCCTCAAAGGTAGTTCTCGATATGATTATCAGTGAGACAAGAATCCAGTAACGCCAATTACTGATTCACTGCAACCAGAAATAACCAATGTAGTATATAATCAGAAGCAGAACTTTAGAAGGCAAATCTTATACTTTTTTTTTTTTTACTTTTTAAACGAATCGGAGCGACAAAGGGCTGAATCTTAATGGATCGTGGCAGCAAGGCCACTCTGTCACTTATAATACCCCGTCGCGTATTAGGCAAATCTTATACTAAAGAAGAAAAAACTAAAGTATACGATTGGATGAACATATATCTATGTCTATAGAAAAAAGCATAATCGATCAAATCCGTCGATGTTCTATGAGGAAACGAGGGTGATACTAGAACTCAAGCCCTATCGAGCATATTAATGGAATCCGATACATATATCAGTTAATAAAAAGAATAGAAGAAGCTTGTACTGTGTCACTTAAGTTATATAGGAATTCCAGAGACCAACATTTATTTCCATTTCAGAGGATATTCCAGTTTTGGACATATAATTACTTGATTCCTCAGATTACTAGAAGAAAAAAAAAACAAAAAAACATGTCATATTCATAAGATTCTTTAGTCATTGTCTATATGAAAACTAACTTAGTGAATTCTTATGAACATACTCATTACCCTATTCCTCTTCTTCCTATTTCTGATCAAAGTCCCTCCTCTACCTATTGAAACAACTAACAAAAGAATGTAAAAGGAAAAAAGAAGAAATGACATACATGAAATAGAATTTTAATGACATCACAAGCACATGTTTAAAGTTTACTCATTCTTATCTATAACAAATATCTATGCAATAAGGTCACTCTATAACGGAATAAAAATAGTGGTTAATATGCTATTACATATTAAATTATACTAATAGTATGCATTTTTTTGAATATATAAGTTAAATCCAAGAATGTGCATTAGAACAATAAGAAAGTGATATAAAAGAGTTTACCTGGAAATTAAGCTGAAATAAGTAGCTAGAGAGTGAAATATTATTGGCAAGTTGTTGTAGCTGTGTGGAGTTGTTGGTATTAGCATTCAGTGTATTGCTTGTTTGATGACTAAGCTTTGAGTATAAGTAATAAATGATGAGTAGGAAACGTAAAAATAGCAACAGGAAATGGCGCAAGATTGGATCAAGATATGTTGTCTCAGTCAATAATTAAAATTATGGGACTATAGTTATGGGTTTGTTTATTATCAACTTATCATGATAGATTATAGATAGCGTTATGAGAATGTCAGAACAATCTTTCACGTGCCTTGGAAGTTTTTTTATTTCTTTGTTTATTTGTTACAGTATTTTTTAATGTTACCCATGCCAACTAATAAAAAGGGCAGCCCGGTAAGCCCCAGCTATGCGCGAGGTCCGGGGAAGGGCCGGACCACAAGGGTCTATCGTACGCAGTCAACTTTACCAGTTACGCATGCGAACGAATATGTGACCTAAAGTAATTTTTGAATCATATTTGCCATTATATTGAAATCTTTCCTAGTATCAAAGTATTTATAATATATATATATATATATA